GGCAGACAAAGGGCCAAAGACATACAAAGAGACAGAGTGCATACCACGGAGAGAGAGAAACACCTAGTGTGGACAGCCTGCACGATGGTGAGAGATGAGACACATTCTTTCCCCACCCACCATGAAATAGACTTATGGGGACTGGGAACTCCACACAGATACACACATACATATATATTGACAGACAGATAGACTCTCTCTCTCTCTCATGGAGCCAGGCATTCCCCCTGTATGCCTCAAAGACACAACACTCAGAGACACAATGTCCCCAGTACATTTACACAGCCTCATCCAGGTCACTTCTGCTTTGCCCCTTCTGGGCACTCCTCTACCTGGGCCCAGGGGAAGTCCAGGAGCAACAGCTAATGCTGTGTCAGTCACATCGAAACACTTTAAACACATCAGTCCATTTCATCTTCACCACAATCCTATGAGGTAAACATTATTACCCTACTTTACAAATGAAGAAATATATTCAGAGAGATTGAGATACTTGCTTAAGTCACACAGCCGGTGAGCAGCAAAGCTGGGGTTTGGATACAAATCAGTTTGACAGCCTCCTGGAGAGATCTGCTGGGAGAATGGGGGCGGGGGCGGTAGGCAGGAAGGACAAACCCTGGCTGATGCCTGATTGTGGGGCTGAGACAGAGGGGGCCCTTAGGGGGCAGCATTACGCCTAGCTGAACTAGCTCTGAGAAGGAATGAGCTAGGAGGGGTGGCCTGCTCCAGCAGTCCTGAGAACCTGGGCCACAAGCCCTTGAAAGCAGGGCGCTAAGGCAAGGCCCCAGCCTCTGTGGGTGGTGATAAAGCAGGGAACCCAACTGAGACTGCAGATCTGAAGGAGCTCTCTGGCGGGTCGGCGGCCATTGTTCCCAGCCTCCAATCAGGAGCACCTACTTCCTGTTATTTTAGGCGGCAGGAAATGACCCCATCCCGCAACCCAGGCTCCACCACGGCCCTCCCTTAACCACGGCATAGCTGCCCACACTGAAGCCTACATGCTGAGGGCACAGGCCCAGCCTCAGGCGAAGGCCTGAGGGAGGCCCATTGGCTGGACTGTCACCACTGCCTTGGTCCAGGGCCTCCTTCTGGTTTTACTTGCTCAGATTCCAACCTGACAGAATACATGGTGTCTGTGTGTCTGTTTTGGGGAACCTCCTCTACCTCTGCCAACCAGGGAAAAAAGATCATGGGGTCCCCAAGACCAAGATCATGCAAAGAAAGTGGGCAAAACTGTTATCTGCTGGCTTGGTCATATAATTCATCATAGAGGTCTGGTGCACTGGCTTAAGAGTCAGACAGATCTGGGTTCAAATCCTGTCCCTGCCAGTTCCTAGCTGTGTGACTTTAGGCAAGTGACTTTGCTTCTCTGAGCCTCATCTGTATGTAAAATGGGGATAACATTAGTCCTTACTTATGCTGTTGTTTTGAAAATCAAATGAAACAATGCATGTGACATGCTGAGCATTGTGCTGGACACAGAGAAAGCCCTTAATAAATAGGAGTGGGAAATAAGTTGGTTCACCAGAGAGTCTATTCCTGGCCCACATCTGCTCTTACAAGTGGAGAAGAGTGCTGATGGGGTCAGGGATACCACGTTCTCTACCTCCTACCACGCTTTCTACTGCCCTCAGGACAGAGCTGCAGCTGAGAGGTGATGGAGGAAATGCTGAAGGCTGTGCCCCAGGGTGCCAGGCAGAGCTGCCACTGCCAACAAAGCTGCATTATCTGGGCCTGGCTCCTTGGCTCCCTCACTGGCCCCAAGGCCCAGGAGGGACCCAAGGACATAGCTCCCAGCTGCTTGCTGCTTAACTTCCAGCCTAGGTCGGACCTGAGACCTGCCTTGACCGTACTCAAGTGCCACCATTTCTAATCTGGGCCCTGGTTTCAGCTCCTTTCCCTGCTCCCTCAGCCCTGCCCCACCAACAGCTGATGCCCATCCTGAGGGGAAGAGGGGGGATGAACTGGCTTAGTGCCCTTTCCTCCTTGTTTTCATATGCATGACTGCACATTAGAGACTCATTAGAGGCCTCATTACTGGACCCACAAGCCTAAGGAGTGAGAAAGCTGTCAGTTGGAGGTGCCAGCCAGGCTGGCTGCTATGTGCAGAGACATGGACCATTGTGCCAGTCTCACCAACTTCTACTCACCCTTTCAGGTTTACCTCAAATGTCTACTTTGTGAAGCCTTCCACAAGCAGAATGCTAGGTCCACTATATCACCATTATATCTGGGTTTCACTGCAGGGAACACATCTGCCTCTCACAGTGGGCCAGCAGCTTCCCCAGGGTAGCGACTCTGATTCACTTCTCTGCTGTCTGCACAACCAGCACCAAGATGGCACGTGGTGAGCATCAGCATGGGTGTGCTGGATGGCTGGCTGTACCCATCTCCTGCATCTCTCTCCTATTCACACTGCCCCACTACACCTTGGTTCATGTCGTCTAGAACTCCCATCCCCCTTGCCCTCTGTCCCACATTTACCTTCTGAAGTTCTAAATAATCACACCTTCTCAGGTCTCTGAAGGAATTAAAAAATGACAAAAAACAAATAGCTAATGTTTATTGAGCACTAACTACACGCCAGGGCCTAAGCTAAATGTTTTATATGTTTATCTAATTTAATGATCCCAGTGTCTCTATGAGATAATTTCTGGCATTATTCTCATTTTGTAAATGGGAAAACTTAAGACTTTTGTTAAGCCACTTACCTGAGGTCAACAGTAATAAATTATCTTTGATTCCAGAGTCTATACCCTTAAGCAAACTGACTCTCAATTCCTGCCCTCACCTCCCCCATTTGTATTTGGTACCTCCCTGCTGGCACCAGTTCCAATGAGCATAACTATGATAATTTCAATAGCACTGTACTGAGGGCGTCTGTGTACCAGAGTCCTTTAGGCGCTTCATCTCTAACCCTCACATTAATCCCCCAAGATTTATGACACTGCCTCCGTTTTTCAGGGGCATAAACCGTGTCCAGAGAAAGTCAATTGCTGCAGTCTGGTAGCCAGTAAATGGCTTACTGGGATTTCCATCCAGGTCTTCTGACCCAAAGGTGGGTGCCACACTTGTTCCCTAGTCCATGCGGCCTCCTGTTAATGCTCAGTGTGCAAAAGGAACTCAAAGAGGGCAGGGATCATGTCCCCTGCACTCAATCTCAGAGCCATGCCTCAAACTCGCATAGGGCGGTGCACAGGACCTTTATTCCTAAGAAGCCTTTGGCTCAGAGGGGGCCTCTGTCACCTTCACCAATGGTCCAGATTCTCATGTAACGCCATCTAGACTCCTGTGTATAGAATAGTCTTCCCAACTAGGACCCTGTATACTGGCCACATGCAAGCTCCCCAGTACAGCCAAGCATCACCCCCATGCTCTCTTACTCAGTCCAGACATCCCACTCAAGTGTCCTAATTATAAAGTAGCCAGAGACTCAGACCCTTATCTATGTCCCCGTTACCACCCAATTCAGGCCTTGATGTACACACCACTGCCAGAGACCCTTAAAAGCAGAGGGCCAATAACCAGATGGAATGGACCCCAGAGGGGATCCTCCCTGGGTGTCTCCTCTCAGGCTCAGCAGAGCCAAGACAGACCCAAGCACCCTTATTCCAGCACACCCTACAAACCTCCCAAACCACACCAGTCTAATGGCCTCCCCTCTGCATCCTCCAGCTCCCACACCCTCACTGTCCCCTCCGAGCACCCACGCTGGCATGGGGAGGAGCCCACCCACAGCCAAGCGGCTCCACCTTGTCCTGGGCTCTCCGCACCCACTGTTTCATCGTGAGCCCACACCCCAGGGGCCAGGGAGGTGGCGAGGATTAGGCTCTAGGACTCTATGGAGGTGTGGGGATGGAGCCACCTCCTGAGTCAGTGGGAAGAGAACTTGGGTCCTCAGTAATCATGTTCTTCCCTCCCCTTCCAGGAAGAAAAAGAAAGAGAAATCCCTCCCTCCAACACCAGGCCCAACCAGAAATCTGTCCCCACCCCCTCATCAGCTGCTCCCAGATCCGAATGGGATTTGCAGAAGTCCTGGGCGCTGGTGGTTTGGTGGGGTGAGGGGAGGAAGAGCTTTGATGGTCTTGGGCCTAAAGAGAGGGAGGCGGGGTGTGTGTTTATGTGTGCAAGGGGGTAGATATCCAGAGCCTCAGACTGAGGAATGATGTGGCAGGTCCCCTGAGTGCCGGCCTTGAGCCTTCACCTCATTCTACAGTGGGAGACTCAGGCCCAGAGAGGCTGGAACGGAGGGCGGGAGGGAGAAGCAGATTTACTTCTGTCCCCTTCCTCCCCAAATGGGGCTGAGTGGGCTCCAGAGTAGGCCAGGCTGCAGGGGAGGCGGCCCACTCCCCATCTCCCGCCCTCGCCCCAAACAATGCCGCCTCCCCCTCCCCCTCGCCTTTATCTGGCGGGTTACTTGGCAGCCGCCGCTAGAGACCTCCCCCTCCCCTCGCCTCCCCTCCCAGTCGGCCCGCAGCAGCAACAGGCCCTTTGCGCGGCAGCTGGAGGGATGGGGTGGGGGCGAGGTCTGAGCCCGGGCCTGGGCGTGGGCGTGGGGGGCGCCAGGGCCTAGGCTTCTGTATGCAGGGCTCCGGGCTTGAGAAGCTGGACTCCCGACACACACATTCAAGCTGGGGTCACACGTGCCCACTGGGAACAGAAAGGACAGACTCCCCGGCTCAGTAGAAGAGGATCTTCAGGGCCTGGGTGGATGGGAAGGGGGTGGGGTGGAGAAGTCGAGGTGGCACCAGAATTGAGTGGAAGGGTCACCCTACAACTCCGGAGCGGGGTCCCAGCAAAGCCGGGTTGGGGGAAGGGGCAGCTGTCAGAAGGTGCGTCCCTGGCCCGGAGCCGCCGCCGCAGCCTTTATTTTTGAACTTCAAGTAGTCGGAAGGCGCAGCGGGGGAGGGGGTCCTTGCCCAGCCGGCCAGCCTCATCCTCGGCCTCCCGGAGGCCCCTCGACCTCCCCCCATCTCGCCTCTGCGTGGCTCCCAGCATACCTGGGGGTGCGCCGGCACCCGGCTCGGCATGTGGGCCGTTCTCCATAGTTGCGGCGTCACCGGGGAATCTTGGAGTCTCAGCTGCGACGGCGGCGACGGCCAGCGGCCAGGACAAGGGTCCCGCGGCGCATCACGCCCGGCCCGGCCCCGCGGGCAACAACTCGGAGGCGGGAGCGCTCCGGGGACGGTAGAGGCTGGCTCGGCTAGTGGCCTGCGAGGCTCGGAGTCGCTGGCTGCCCAGGATCTGTCGGCTCCGGCCGCGATCCTTCTTCCCTGCCCGGCGCCGGCCCGGTCCCCGTCGCGGCCCAACCCTATTGTACCGCCAGGGCTGGGCCTGGCCTTTGCGCCGGCGCGTACCAAGTGAGACGAGGGGAGGG